TTCCTAGTAAAGCATTACTAGGAAATTACGAGGAAAGTGGTTACTAGGAAATTACGAGGAAAGTGGTTACTAGGAAATTACGAGGAAAATGGTTACTAGGAAATTACGAGGAAAGTGGTTACTACGACTTTACGAGGAAAAAGGCTTTACGATGAACGTGTTTCGACGAAACGCGTTTCCTCGTAAGTTCCTAGTAAAATGCCATTTACTAGGAACTAACGAGGAAAACCTGCCCTAGTAATGGACGAGTTTTCTTGTAGTGATATGAGAATGATTTAAATCAGTCCATGTATCCTTATAAAAAAAATTCTTGTGTTTATTTTATAACTAACTAGCCCAAAAGAAGGGCCATTTGGTTTGTTAAATTGTTTTCTAAACAGGTTATGTACATGGTGGTATACACATCATCGGATGTGTGGTCGAGAGCATGGGACGGTCTATGGGATAACCAAACACATCCGTATGGATCATGAAGCATCCGTGAAGTATTTTTGGTCAAGGACCATAGCAACATGTCCGACCAGGGCATGGAATCGTCGACAGAAAAAGAAAGACATCAGGTCCTAATTTTCAGTGATGTTCAAATCAGGGGGAGTAATACGTGTTATATTTTTTTCCCTTTCTATGGTTTTATCCCTTTTTCCCTATTAGGCTTTGGGTATTTCCTGAAAAGATTTTAATGAGGCAACATCCAAAACGTATTATAAATTCTATATAGTTATGACATCTAAGTGGGAGTGTTATAATCCTTATTATGGATATCCCATAACCATAGCTTAGATCATAGGCTCATCCAATCCAATAGACATAAACAGCCATAGTGCCTTGTTTTCCTTATCCATGATATTAATAGTTTTCCTAATCCTAGTTGGTTTAAGATATGGATATTTTTTTTTTAATATATCTTTCTAATCCTTATATAAAAAGAGTCTGTTGATCATTAATAATATACATAATATTCATACAATTCTCTCTAGTTTACAATGGCACCTATCACAGAGCTCTCTATCAGAGATCATGGTGATGATAATGATGAAGTATGGATCACGCACTATTCATCCAATCATCAGATACTTCTCGTGGGCGAAGGAGATTTCTCATTCTCCTGCAGCTTAGCCACTCGCTTTGGCTCTGCTTCCAATATCGTCGCTTCCTCTCTCGACTCAAACGGTAACACTTCCTTTCCATACTCTGTCAGAGTTTTTTTAGGGTTTTACTCTCTTGAATTTCCTATGGCGAGAGACTAGGGTAAACTATATGTAGCGTTTAAAACTTGGATTCCGCCATCTGTTCTGTGGTAATTTGAAGCAGATGATGTGGTTAGAAAGTATAAGAAGGCAAGGTCAAACCTTGAAGCTTTGAAGAGACTTGGAGCTTCCCTTTTACATGGAGTTGATGCAACCAAACTCCATCTACATCCTCATCTTAACTGCAGAAAATTTGACCGTATCATCTTCAACTTCCCCCACGCCGGTTTCCACGGCAAAGAGACTGACTCATCTCTTATAAAGTAAGTGCGTGTATACTGGCTATTGCTGCAAACTTTGGGGACTTTTATTTTTTATTTTTTAACAGTTTCCCATTAGGAAGCATAGAGAACTGGTGTTTGGATTTCTCCATGGTGCAAGCCATATGGTCCGGGCTACTACTGGAGAAGTTCACGTCTCTCACAAGAACAAAGCACCTTTCTCTCACTGGAAGCTTGAGGAGCTCGCTAGCAAATGCTCTCTTGCGTTGACACAGTGCGTGGTGTTCAAGAAGAGCCAGTACCCTGGTTACGAGAATAAGAGAGGAGATGGGTCTAGATGTGACATGCCTTTCCTTTTGGGAGAGTGTAGTACTTTCAAGTTCAGAGTCTCTCGCGTGGCTAAAGAGATTTATGCTGAGAAGGTGAAAGGGAGAGAGATGAAGGAACGTGAATCAAAGTGCTCCCAAGCACAAAAACAGTTACAAGTTGTTAGCCAAAGACCAGTACTTACATTTGGACCTCTCAGCTATAACCTTACGCAAGTGCCTGATCCTTTGGTTCAATCAAGACAAAGAGCATTGCCATTGAATCCTCGTGAACATAGATGTTCTTCACATATTGAAGATACTATTGCTAACCATGCCCGGTTTCAAGAAAAATCAGTGCAGCTGGACCCGCTCAGATACATTGGAAGAAGCTCTCATGACTTTCCTTTTCAAACTAGTCACCATCCTCAAGAAGAAAGATTCTTCCTTGATTGCTCAAGCCGCTTTGGTGGAGTTCCGCTTGATATTCATATCAAGAGAATGCAGAGTACGTTAACACAGACGAGCTTTCCTCATCAGTACACTGGAGAATCACAAGAAAGATACCGTCAAGAACCATTCTTCCAGCGCTCTAACCGTTTCAATGGATTTTCTCATGCAATTTATAACGAGGAAGGACAAAACTCAATGTTAACAAGTGCCAGCTTTCCTCATCCATACACTGGAGAATCACAAGAAGGAAGCTTGACTAGACAAAGCATGAACCTTAACCTTTACCCTCCACGGCTCTGGTAAGTCATTGCTCTTTGCGTATATCATGAAAACAAAAAAGGTAAACCAATATTAAAAAAAACTTCCAGGTGCATGAAGCTTAAAGGCACTAAAAAAATCTTTAAGAATTGTAGTTGTTGGCTAACTACTGACGACTCTAAAACGCAATAATGATCTCAATGGAGATGTGATACTTGGTGTAATTATGTATCCATCAAAGTTGTTTGGGAGAATGTGTAGTGGAAATGGTGTTGAGAGTCCTGCAACTTGGCTTTGTGCTTAAAAAGAGAAATTCACAGTGGTTTGTCTTTTTACGGCACCTCTTGTTAAATCAACACTAGGACACTAGGTGCTTGTATTTTCACCTTTTTACTATTTGTTAAACTTACAAAAGAATGTTCATATTTTATTCTTGTAGACTTAGTTTAAACTCAAGCTTAGCCGACAAGGCAACGGCATAAGCTTCATTTTCATTGAATTAGTAAATTACAGTAATTGAAAAAAAAATGGAAGTTTCAAGTAAGATGCAACGAAATCGATCATAGTGAGAAAAAGATAAATAAACAGAACTTGTAAATTTCAGGGAATCTGTTTATAGAATTACTACGAAACACATACATTTGGTTGACAAGAACTTTTGAATACTAGGACATATAAACTTCGATACTATTAAATGTATGCTATTGCCGTTAGTCGTTATTAATAGATATGACTCAATTCTATAAGATTTGTTTAATTATCTAAAAAAGGAACATTCTTGATGATCGATTAGAATTCATATAATAAAATTGAATGTTTTGTATACAAATCAGGAATCTAGATATTTTATCATTCATTGCTTATGACCATTGTTATCTGTATATAATCAAGTAGAGGATAAACACTTAAAACCCCATAATGATTCAAGTACTGATATTATCACATTGGTTTGCTCTCCCTTTCTCAAAATCCATATCGGAATATCCTCTCCGGTAGTTTTCTTTTCCGCAGTACGATGAGGGTAAGTGCCCTTTTGTTTTCCTTCTTATCGTTCTCTCAACTGAAACAATTAGCTTGTAAAACAAGAAACATTTCTATCCATTACTAAAAATATATTTATAAGTTAAATATATAACTATTTTCTTATATCATACGATTGTTTCTTCAGCAAAAGATAGTTCTGAAGATGGATATGAGTGAGAGTGAGAAATCAATCAAGAAAGCTATGAAAATCGCTTCTGGAGCATCTGGTAAAACATCTCTATGGCTTATTTTGCAAATAACTTGCAAGCCAAGTAAGGTTATGTGAAAATGTTTCAGCAACTTTGTTTGTTTACGCGCGTGCGTGCAGGTGTGAGATCTGTCTCGATTCAGGGACAGAACGATCAGCTTGTTATAGTGGGAGAAGGGATTGATACGGCGGAGTTAACTCGTGAACTCCGCAAGAAGGTTTGTCACACGACCATCGTCACAGTTCAGGCCGCACCACCTCCAACGCCACCGCCGTCGCAGCAAAAGCAGCCAGTGGAATATAACAATGAGGTGGCTCCGGTGAGAAGATGCATATGCGAGATACCGAATGTGGGTTACTGTGGGTTTTGTAGATCTATGCGTGAAACCCCTTACCAGATGGTACCTTCGCAGTATCCACCTCCGGCGATGTACGGTGGTTACCGTGAAGATCCTGATAATTGCAGTATCATGTGATGCACGAATCTTTCAACTCGTACTGTTTTTTTTTTTTTTGTTTGAGTTCTACTTTTTTTAAAGAACCAAGTAGAAAATTTTAAATTCATGATGCTGTAAACTGATGTTGTGACTTGTGAGTCTTGTGACAATGGACTCAAAAATGATTCATTAAACCAAAAATAAGTAAAGTGTAATGTTTGATGATCGAATATATATACTATAACAAACTTAAAAAAAAAAAATTGTGTATTCAAAGTCGTTCATCTTAAATATAAACTATGGTTTCACTTACGTAAAGTAATGCTTATGCGTCTTTTAAAGCAAATGTAGAAATGATTTACATTTTAAGTTCTTTCCTAACAAATTACATTGTGCCTATTATATATTGTTCATAACGTGATGAAGTCAAGTCCACTATTTACATCTTATTTTATTTAAGGACTTTCCTTTGGGGAATGGTGTTCGTGACATCTCCAAAGAAATCTAATGGTTTAAATACTTAATGGTTTAAATACTTAATTGCCTTCGTATATACTATATACTCGGTCTCAAGCGCGGGAAGCGTGATCGTCTCAATTATCAATTGTTTATTTCCTTTTTGGACAACTTTCTTTAAACAGAAATTGGTGGGATTGTCCCTAAATATATCTCATATTTGCCATCTAACATTCCAAATGAGAAACTATTTCGTGTGACCATTATACCCCTATCTCATTCTCTCTCTCTTCTCTTCCATATCTTCTAATCTCTTTATCTCTCACACATGACATGTTTATGCTTTCATTTTTTCATCATAAATCTCTATTTTTTACTCTGATTCTTTTGACACTCATATTGCTAATGTTATTATCGCACACTAATTCTATTATTTCTAATTTCAAATCTTGATATATACATTCTTTTATTTGGATAATATGTAAGTTATCAGCTATTTCATTATTTACCCGTTATTATTATACTTTAATGAATTTGTAACCGATACATAGAGTGTTAGCTGTTACAAATAGGATTACGGCTATTTGATAGATAATTTATTAGCGGTTAGTAAATGTATTTTTATGATAAAAGTATTGTTAACATGCTAACCTGTTTGTTAGCGATTTATTTAACACGTTAATAAATAGACGTAACACGATAACAGAATTTGTAGCATGTTAAAATTTTGTCAATTTGCTAACAATGTTTATATCATGTTAAAATTGATAAATATCTCTTATTGTTCAGTTAACATAATGTGTATCCGCTAAATCTAGAGTTACATGTTTTCGATAAAGTAAGAGGGCATTTTCGTCCGCACAGTGTCAAAAGGTTACTCCTTTTTGAATTATCCACAACCATGGACATTCGGCCAATTTGACTCTTCGTTAGGTACATTACACCAATTGTCTCTTTAAAAGATCGATTCTCAGTCTAAGAAACTCTAAGGAACTACACAAATGAATAAACTGAATTGATAAAGGAGTATATTGCATTACTTATCATAATAAATACACATGTAGAGGCTAAAAATAACTTGCAAAAATACAATATTGATCTGAGACATTGGTTTCGATCTCGTTAAGAAATGGCATCTCAGGTCATATGCCCGTTAGCGTGAATAGGCTCATTATCATATTGGTTCAAACTATAGTATAGTTATTTGTTTTCTGTTTTGCAGTTACATCTTTCCTGCCACATTTTGAAGGCAATTTAGTTTTCCATTTCATTATAAAACACAAATACTATAAATATAATTCTTCAACAACAAAAAGCAAAACAATAAACAAAACTAGCTTTTGACTTTTATCATCGTTTTGGAGGTTTCATTTTTTTTTCAAATATAAATCGTTCTTTCATCATTCATAATCTTCATTCCAAACTTAATCTTTAAACCTAATAATTAAAGATGAAACAATTCACCGAACTTTTCTCCATCTGCATTATTATTCTCTCCTCCATTGCCGAAAATGCTGATTCCAGTCTTATTACCGATCTATGTAAACACTGCGACGATCCAAAACTCTGTCTCTCCAGCATACAGGACCGTCCCGAGTCCGGCGAGTTCGCAGCCACCACCAACCAGATAGAGATCATAGCTATCTCTGCCGCCTCAGCCAACGCCTCCTCCACTTCCGCATATATCAAAGAAATGCTTAGCCGCGAGGATCTGGAACCGGCAATAGAGGCAACTCTCGAAGACTGTCAGAAGAATTACCAAGATGCTGTGGAGCAGCTCGACGATTCGATATCCGCCATGCTCGCTAATGCACATGCCGACGTCGATGTCTGGATGCACGCGGCCATCAGTGCCATTGAGTCATGTACTAACGATTTAGAGTCACGCGCAGGAAACGATGTGGAGCTTTCTCAAAGAAACGAAGTTCTTCTCAAACTATGCAAAAACGCTTTGGTGATTAATAAAATGTTAACATGATATATAACTCCCAACATTGGAATTATAATACTTTCTTGCTCTTTTTCAACATTTTGTTGTATTGATTAATATGAAATTCATTTCACGAAATAAAAACATCAAAAAGGTGTTCTTTCTCATAGTTGCATGATCAAATACAGCGTCAATTTTCAACAGTGAAATATATTTTTGGACATGTTACAATATTGAAATCCAACCCAAATGAACACTATCCATTGGGCCCAAATTGTGACAGATATAATTGGGTTAATAATGTTGGTTTATACGGTTATCAAAGTAAAACCTGCTATCATCTCATAGCATGCATGATTATTTATTGAAGATTTTGCTGTTGGTAACGGTTGTTAGCGTTTTGTAACAATAGTACAAAATGTTACAAACCACTCTAAACTTTTAAAATTCAAAAACTGATTTCAACTAACGTTTGTAGTTACGGACGGTTGTGAAAAAATAGAATAACTTTTTTTAAAAAAAAAACTGTAGAAATATACAAATAGAAATATTTTATTAAAACTTTAAACTGAAATAATAAAAATACTAAAAATATTTATGTTATATTTTAATTTATATTATAAAACTTTAAAACAGAAATAGTTTCTATAATTTTTTAAAAATTGATAGTATAATTTTATAACTATAATTGTTATATTTATTATAATAATATGATTTTAAATATTTTTATTGTTATATAATATCTTGTTAATTTGTTATTTAACTACTGCTGATCGTTAATCAGTGATAATTATTTCGCAAACACACTCATTTCAAATCGTTGTATCAACTGTACAATTTTTTCAACTGTTTAAAATTAATACTATCCGCAAATACTTGCAACCGTAACCGCACCTGCATCTGTAACCGCTGTAGGGGTTCTATTTGGATTCTTTATAACTGTGTTTATTTATTTTTTCAAAAGAACATATATGCAGTTTCTGTCAATGTATTCGGTTTAATAAAGATGAAACTGAATCAGTCCGGTTAGCTTAGATGAAACTCTCCTGCCTTCAATATTAAAGAATATTCAGTCACTATGATTAGCGATGTAGAAAAATGTGTAAAAGCAAAGCAATGGTGGGTAGTTGAGATCCAGTCAAAAATGAAACCAATGGTGGAGATCTACTCGACCCATCATGCAAATTTTTCTAGTCAAATTGTTACACCAAACTCCAACTCATGTTGACCTTACCCTATTCATAACGTAACAATGTAACTGGTTATTTGGTTTACTATATCAATTTAAAAAAAAAATTAAGGTGAACTAGAATTACCAGTCAAGTTTGGAGATATAATAATCAAGACTGATTATTAGGACTTTTTCGGAAATATACGGTCACGATCATTTTAGACATAATTTCTAGAGGTTGCTTGTAAGATAGGGCGATGTACAGATTCTAGATTCAATGTCCCAGAAAATGACAAAACGCAGATACCTTTCTTCACCACTTGGACGAATTATATATACACACTTGGTCTCAGCTTTAGTTATTTATTTCATAAATGATAAGTTTCCCTTCATATTCATCACTCAAAAAAGTATCTGATTTCACATCGTTATACGTTTATTGAATATCCTATGGGTATTAAGAAGTAAGCTTCAAATTCGAATGTTATTATATATACATATATGTGAATTAATTCAAACAATATATGCACATCAAAGATGAGATCATAAGAGAAAACTTGCACTCTTGTAATGGAATTCAAGATTCCACTAAGACCCCACCATTTTGTTGCCTTTCCTCTTAACAATGATAGAATCTTGCTTTCTCTTTTTATATTTTATCAATCAACTTGATTACTTTAAACCCAAAAACTTTATTATACTAATCGTACTCTGGTATTCAAAGAATCTGCAATTAGAGACATTCTTCTACTCTGTTTTTTTTTCCAAAACATCTAAAACATTAGCTAATGGGTAATAGTTTAGATAAGAATCTGAATTTTGCTGAACCCATAATCAAGTTTGGTGATGGCCGTGGACAAAAATAATATTGGTATGCAAGTTTGATATCACTATTATTTTGAATATATGAAAATAGATGGGAAAATCAAGTTGAAGGATCCGATGAAGTTGTAACTTGCGAAGGAATGGGCAAAAGAAACCAAGTTGGCAGAGAATGCACGCAAATCTATGTGAGGGATGAAAAGAACACTTCACATTAATCTAATGTATAATCTTCTTTGTCACGCAAATTTACTTGTACATAATTACATATCTATAAACGAATCATAAAGTAGAATTGCCTACTTTGGAAGCACACAAATATTATAATTGCTTCCATCACACTCCAATGCTATCCTCACATTGATAACTGCGCACTTAGATTCACAATAAATCAAGATCTTCCTATGCAGACTATATAGTAAACACTCACTATCAAGTTATCAGTCATCAAAATAGTAAACTGGATGGTTATACATATGTACTTAACAACATACAATCCCATATAAATAATGACAAAGGAAAATTTTATAAATAACAAAAAAAAATTGTGGACTAACTTAAACTACGTTTAACATCAGGAACAGTTTATAATACTAAAGGAAAGTACAATCATGTAATTGTTAACCATATCCAACTCAAGAAATGTTGAAATGTCCATAAACCTAAAGTCTGAAATTAGTTGGAAGAGAAGACTCAAAGACTCCAATAAAAGAGACACACGCCCCATAAGAGTGGGCCAGGTTCAGACATAAGGCCAAGTGTTAAGTAACATATAGAACCAACACACTTTACTCTTTCCCCTCTCTCTATCCCTCTCTTTCAAATGACGTAAAAGCAAAGCACAGACTTTGCTTCCCCAGAAGAATTACCAATCCAAGAAACGCTAATGATTCCTCCAATCCATTAAACAATTCATCTCCCTAAACCCCATATCTCTCCTTGATTCTCTATTCTTGGTTTTGCACTTGCGTAGACATATACTATTTATTATATGGTAAGGAGAAGAGGAGGAGAAGAAGAGAGCAAACCTGGGAAAGTCAGGGGAGAATCTGCTGGAGGGATTGTTGGATTGCATCCATGACATCTCTGCAGCTCTGGCTTTCTCTAGGATGACTGATTCAGCTTACAGAGTAGACACCATCTCCAGGCTCGCCCAATGGCGTATCCTCAACCTCTCTTCCTCCACTTACCGCAAATCCGATCCTTTCAAGATGGGTCTTTGGAACTGGTATCCCCTCTCTTCTCTCTCTCTCTCCTTTCTTTATTTTCTTTCACCTTATCAACTATAATGATCCGACATGATGATGATGATGATGATGAATGGACAAAAGTAATTGTAGTTGATGTGTTTGGTGGTTTTTTGATTTGAAGGCATTTGTCTGTGGAGAAAAGCAAGATGCTATTAAATGTTAAGTTGTATCCAGAAGTATCCAACCTTGCCAGAGAGAACCCACCTGTTGCTTCCTTTGTTCTTCGTGTTGTCTCTTCCACTGGTGAGAGGAAAGCTTTTTCTCATCCAGGTAGAGACAAGATCTTGCTTACTCGATAGTACTTCCCCACTGCTTTGTTTCTGTTACAATCGCAAAATATCAATTAATAAAAAACTGTTTCTGTGATGCTTTACAGAAGTAATAGATAAGAGGATCAAGACAAACGAAGATTTCCTCTGGACTATTGAAGTTCCCTTGACTGGAAAAATCATCATCGACGTCGAGTTTCTTGACCTCAAGGTTCTGTCTCAAGATGTAAGTGTGTCTCATCACTTCTATATAAAGTTAAGACAACAGAACCTTGTTTTTCTTGAATTGATATTTACCTGGGTTGGCAGAGTGGAGAGTTTTACTCAATCTGGGCAGACGGTTCAACGCAAAACCAATCCGAAGTTACAGCGGTAACATCCCTTGGACGTATGTTGACAGAAAGCATTTACACCGACATAACAATCAACGCCTCTGATGGAAGCATCGGAGCACACCGAGCTGTTCTTGCAGCCCGTTCGCCTGTTTTCCGCAGCATGTTTCTACATGACCTGAAAGAGAAAGAACTATCAGCTATAAACATACCGGACATGCCTCTCGATGCTTGCAGAGCGTTCCTCAGTTATATCTACGGGAACATCCAGAACGAAGACTTTCTAACGCACAGATTGGCGCTTCTCCAAGCAGCTGATAAATATGACATAGCTGATCTGAAAGACGCGTGCCACATGAGTCTTGTGGAAGATATAGATGCAAAGAATGTGCTTGAGAGGCTGCAGAACGCTTATCTGTATCAGTTGCCTGAGCTGAAGGCAAGCTGCATGAGGTATCTTGTGAAGTTTGGGAAGATATTTGAGATCCGTGAGGAGTTCAACATATTCATGCAATGCGCAGACAGAGATTTGATATCTGAAGTCTTCCATGAAGTACTCAGTACATGGAAAGGGTTTTAATGGGGTATGGTGTGTGGTCTCTATTTATTTATGGACACTATTTGTTTCTGGGTGCAGAAGAATTTGTTGTACAGATTACAAAATGTGGGATTGGATTGTTGGTGGGGGTTTTAACTCAAAACCAACCCCAAAACAAGGAATGTACTGTCTTTGCAAAAGGTTAAAAACAGCAACAATGTAAATTCATGATTTGATTGAATGCAAACTTCAAGTTTTAATGGTTGACCTATAACAACACTAGATTACCTTTTTTATCAGATTTGTGTGTGTGTTTTACTAATAAAATTTGAAATCATTTTGCAGCATGATTCTGAGTAGTAGTATTGGTTAAAAGGCTTATTTAAACTTAGGCCACGCTAAAGAGCTAATAAGCAAATGTGGTAACATTTTCATCATAGGCAGAAGCAAACTAGTTAGAGTTTCAAAAGAGGAAGGGTATACACACAAATGTTTCTATTCGCTTCAACTTTAAATCGTTGACCTATAACAACACTACATCCTGTTATCAGTTTTGACGCCCTTTCTGGTAAAATTTGAAATCATGTTGCAGTAAGCAATTACAAGTTGGTTCATGATTCTGAGTAGCATCAAGTGCAGGGGGATGTAAAGAGATACTAAGTACAGTAGAACCTCTATAAATTAATACTCGATAAATTAATATACACTAAATATCTCTACAAATTAATATAATTTTATAGTCCCAAATTGAGTTTTTGGTTCAAATAGTATATCTATAAATTAACATCTCTCTAAATTAATAAAAAAATAAAATTTTGGTGTAGTTCCAACATTATTAATTTATAGAGGTTTCACTGTAGTATTTTTGATGAAAGGCTTATTCTAAACATAGGCTAAAAGCTAAGCTAAGCAAATCCTCCCTCCCGTATATGGTGGGAACATTTTCATCATAGGATAGGAGCAAATCTAGAGGAAAAAATAATAAATCCTCAGTTAATTTCACAGAACCAAACAAGTACAGAGGAAGATATAGACACACAAATGTTTTCTAAACGTAGCAGCACAAGACATACCACAAAAAATATGGAGTTTATCTGTGAATCAAGTCCTATATAAGTGATCCCCACACTTCTTAATGTCATAATTTAATACCCAAATCTCATGAAGAGAAGACAAGAAAATTAAAATCAGATGCGTAGATATGTTTCAGTGGGGCTCTCCAAAAGGATGAAGAAAGAAAGCACATGAGAATCAGACAGAAAATAATAACAGTTCAAGGATGCAAAGAGAGGAGCGAAGACTTACATTTTCTGTTTTTTTTTTTCTTAATAACGATCGATCACCAGAATCGGCCTTCTTCATCTTCATCTTCGAATTCGAATTCGAATCTGTGCTGTTCTCCCTCCACCTGGTGACGGAGGGGGAGGGAATCTCTCTTGTTTGTTCCCCATAAAAAGATGCGGTTAAGAATATTCCATAAAAGGCTTAACCAGATTATTCGAAATTTCAAAACGTCATGCGCTACTAATGGGCCTTTTGGCTCAATACACAAGATTTATGGTCTTAGCTTTGTTATAAATAAATATTCAAACTTATACTGTGGTTAACGACTTTAGATTTGATCCGCGCTTTCAAAACGTGGATAATATATTGTTTAATCCTGATTATCCGGATTCTTGAGTCGAGTTTGGATCGAGTCTTATTGCGTCCAAGTCTTTCGGGTCCTACAAATTTGAATCCATATAGGTACCTATAATTTTCAAGTCGGTTTCAGATCGGATCTTGTCGGATCCGTTGGGTATTTAGGACTCTAAAAGGATCCGAATGACCCAAACTGGATCCAGAAACCCGAAAAATACCCTAAAACTTTAAAAATGTCCGAAAAAACGCAAAATGTCCAAAAGTTTATCCAAAATTAGACCCAAAATTCAAAAAACACCCAAAATTTTACCCAGATACCCGAATTATATTTTTTTGCAAATCTAAAATTTTACCTAAAACCTAATATTATACCCAAAAATCTAAATCTGAAACTTTAAAAAATACCTGAATTATCAAAAAGAGTGAATGAGGCCAATATACGTTACAATAGCGGAAATTAGGCATATGCCTTAGCGGATATATAATGGGCCCAATATCTCTTCAGTTGTGTAATTACGGAATACCCCTGGACTCTGCTTGAGGTGTGCTTACGTAATAAGCTACTATGACTTGGAAAGATTTTATTAAGATTTAGTAAATATATTGTGCAGATTATTTTTCAATATCGAGGAGGCTACTAGATTTTGTATCAGAAGAGATTTCATCTGGACCGTCCATTTTTTGAAGCAGAAATCCGCAATCCGACGGTTTCAATTTTCAAAATAATTCTTTAAAAAAAATATTTTAACACTAAACCCTAAATTCTTATCCTAAACCCTAAACCCCTAGTTAAAGAGTTATTTTTGGGTTCACCGTCTAGGATGAACCTCTAGGTTCACCCTCTAGGGTGAACCTCTAGATTCACCATCCAATAGGATTGCATCATTTCAAATTTGATATCTTTTAAAAAAGGAAATAAAATCTTGTTAAGTTATATTATGTTTTTAAAAATAAAAATACAAAAATAAATAAATAATAATAATAATTAATAAAAATGAAAAATATTTTTTTTAAAAAAAATATTTTAAAACTAAACCCTAAACTCTAATCTTAAACCCTAAGTCCTAAACTCTAATCCTAAAACCTAAACCGCTAGGTAAATCATAAATTTTTGGTAAATCATAAACACTAAACCCTAAACTCTAATCCTAAACCCTAAACCCTAAACCCTTGGGTAAATCATAAATATTTGTTTTATATGTTTGTTGAAGTTTGTAACAAGTCGATATGACATGGACATTATTCAGTCTTCAACTGAACCTAAGGCAATGCCTGCTAAGCCAATCCTCAAGCCATTAAAGGCTCATGAGATGTCTGATGGCAAGTTTCAGTTCAGGCAAGATATATCCGTCCTACATAACCGCTACTCTGGTTAGATATGAAAATTTTGCATAAAGAAATTATATTATTATATAAAACTTAATTGTACTTGTCATCATCAATCTACAACAACAATATTATGTTAAAAGTTATCTAAGAAAATATTGTATTCATCTTGCATGCTGCAGCCCAATACACTAGTGAAAGTTGATAGTCTCAGAGAGAATCAATTCATAAACATTTGTACCCTTTTAACACTAGAAAAAAAAAGGTTTGCTTGACTGTTAACAATTGTGTGTACTCTTTAACAATAGTGTTAAAGATACAAGAGTATATAGAGATGATATCATGAAACAAAGAATTCGTATCAAGAAGGAACTTTGTTTATGTATATTCTAGCTATTAGGTTTCTTCATTTGCAAGTAAAATACCAAATTCTTTATCACCTGCCTCTTTTAGTAGTCGCTTGTCTCCTTCCTCCTTTATTTCATTACATCATCTCTAGGATGCAAATACATACAAAATTTCCCTGTGCTCAACATATATATCTGTAAATTTTGAATATTTTAGGAGTTTATGGTCTAACAAACAAACAGAGTGTTGGGAAAGAAAGATAATCTTGATTACGCCTGTCTTTGTCTTATATCTTACAAGTCAATCATGAAACAATAAAAAAACACGATAAAATATTTTAACATATCATTTATATAAAACCAACATCTAAACTGTCTTTTTAATCTATGAATCAGAGGTAGAAGAAAGGAATGATTAAACTCTCTCATGTATTCATCAAGGACATGAGAGTTTCACTGTGATCTATCAACATCACTTCAACGGTGGATTTGTGCTTACTAAACCAATGGTCCGGTACACCTTTGATATCCATCTTTATCATATGGTTGCTTTGCAGATCATAACATATAATTTGAAAGGGAGAAACCAAATCCCTTGGTATTAGGAAAACCTTACCATTTCGACTCGTACCTTTGACAACGAATTCAATGTTTCTGACAAAATCTAACTGAGAAGGTTTCAAAACCAGTCTCTCACTCGACCATTTTTGGTTTGCAGCATCTTCCAATGCCCACAAATCAATCCTACCCTTATCTCGAAGACTGGTCTGGTCAACGACAGTTACTTTGCCACCATACTCTACAAGACACACATTCTTCATCTCTGCAGGAGGAGGCAGCTCCTCCGCACGAGGTACTTGGATCATTTTGAAGTCATGGGATCTAACACCGAAACTCACAAGCATACAAATATCATCAGCAGTCCAACCAAGGTAATATATAACCCCGTCGATACACACGCCTCCTCTGGCCGCAATATGAGGAATAAAGTCCGGAGGATGAAGTGGATTGGCCTTTCTCCAGGAACCTCCCCCTTCAGGTTTGAGGACAAAGACACGATGATGGGACCTTACCTCCTGCGTACCGGTCAAACGGACACCAACTGAGCAGACCACTTTGTACCGGTCTGTAACAGGGTCGTGTCCGAAATAGTAGGAGACGGTTCCCTCGGTAGTACTGCGATTGAAGGCAGAGGGTAAAGTGACAAGCTGTCTAGTGGCAGGGTTAAAGATACGCGGCTTTTTCCTTAGGTCGTAGCACATGAAGCCGCGTAGACTTTGGCAGATGTAGCCGCCTCTCATCCGTGGGATGGTCAGACCATGGTCAACTACAAAGGAAGTATCACTGTTAGCCTCTGGAACCAATGATAGCGTTACAGAGCTACTGTGGTCATTGACATCCTGCAAAGACATGAAAAGATGTGGGCGTTGTCGGGTTGGGACTGTGAGGAAACGGTCTCTGAAATATGATGAGCTGATGAGGGATGACCAAAGCTTTGAGACGCACTTGAATCTCATCAGTGATTTAGCAGGCAGTCTCGTAAGGATCTCCTCCATGACCACATGCATAGGAATAGGCATCTCCATCTCCGGTCGTCTTCTTCTTCTCTCCCGTTTGATCATTGTTCCACGGCAAGGCCGACGGTAAGACAAAGCCATCGAGTAGCCAAATAAACCTTAGGAGAGAAAGAAGGAGTTTAGGGTTTAAGATTAATGATTTGTGATTATATATTAATATTATATATTTTTTTAAAAAACACGTTTGATTGTTTTCTATTAGATCTTCTGGCCTAATATGTTAACTTCCCAAAATTCTCTTATCTGTTTTATGAAGTTTTTATAATTACCGACTAAACTATCTAGTATAGTTTTGTAATGTAAATATAGACTGTTGCTTGAGATACAAGGAACACCATGATGCTCTAACTGCTTATTTAGTTTCTGAAGCCCGTATTATATGTATACTATGGGACAATATAATAGATAAATGCTTTGTGTACATAAACTTCACTGATCAGTGATTATGATAAAATCACTATAACAACACATTACAAACTAGAAAGAAAAAAAAAAGAAGACTGCAATTTAATATTAAGAAAGACACGTACGAGACCAAATCCATCTATTCAAACGCAAACTGACGGCTAGATTGGAGTCTGTGTTCTCAGCTAAAATATGTTTGGAGGAGGTATGAAACCGTAAGCACGGCGACTACTACTGCCATTGCAGCCTAATCTCGGATCACAATCGAGGTGAATTTTGCCGTGAATCTTGTGGAATCCGTTTTTGAATACACCAAAACCAAAGACCATACCGATGGCGACCACCACCAAAACCAGGCATGTGCATAACATGCAAATCCTTCCACAACACATCTTTCTTTGTCTTCTCCTTCCTACGATCACTGCTATTGTTTCCTCGATCTCTCTTTTTTTCTGGCAAGGTTGTGACAATTGTAGATACTACGTTTAGGGCCTATATATTTAGAGGGTTCGTTAGGTTGTTGCTTGTGAGAGCGAGTGATAGAACATGGAGAGAAGCGTAGAAGAGAGGGAGATTTTGGTGAAAGGATTTTTAAGATAGTGGTGCGTGAACGCTTTGTCTATTTCTTGCTTTAAAGCTAACCAAAAGAACACCTAAACAACTTTGGTATATATATAGATAGGTAAATTATAATAGGGCAATTATTTTTTCAAATAGACATTTTTAAGTTTTTATTACAAAAATAGAATTCAAAAACTAAAATGATTAAAATAACATTTTTATTTTGAAAATTTTAAGTTTTTTTTTATTTTTATTTTTCTTAGTTTAAAATTCTATCCCCAAAACTCTACTCCTCATTTTTTTAAAAAAAAGATCTAAGATTAGTTAACCGAAAGAATATAAATGTATATTTATTTATTTTTGATAAAACATTTTTAAATCTATTTTGGTCATTTTTATTTTTAAAGTCTATATTTATGATAAGAAAATTTTTAAATCTATCTTCGAGAATTTCTCATTATAATATTCTTCTTCTAGACCCTAATTTTCTGCAAAATTTTCTTTAAGAAAATTATCCAAGTGTTTGTGATTAGTAAAAGAAAAAATGTTTTATCAAAATGGAATCATAATTCGAATTCAATTACTATATAAAACATTAGAAAAAGGTTTCTTAATGCGTTTTGAGAAGAGTAATTCTTGGGTTCACCCCTTAGGGAGAACCTCTAGGTTTACCAACCAATAGGATTACGTTATTTTATATTTAGTATATATCTTCCATAACCGAGAACGAAATATTGTCGAGTTATATTATGTTTTTAAAATTTAAAGATAAAATAAATAAAAAATAATAGTAGTTGCAGAAAAAAAATTATAGTAGTTGCAAAAAAAATTATATATTTTTAATATTATTATCAAAACACTAAATCCTAAACCTTAAAACCTTTCCGTAAACCCTAAAACCTTGGATAAATTCTTGATTTTTTAAAAAAATATTTTTAATTCCATCATCAAAATACTAAACTCTAAATCCTAAAACCTAAGCCCTTGGGTAAATCCTCAACCTTTGGATTAATTTTAAATCATAGGGATTTAAGATAATCCAAAGGTTGAGGATTTATCCAAGGGTTTAGGGTTTCGGATTTAGGGTTTAATGTTTTTCCGAAGGTATTAAAAATCTTTTTTTTTAATTTTTTTGTTTGCAACTACTATTATTTTTTATTTCTTTTTATCTTTTAATTTTAAAAAGATAATATAACTCGATAATATTTTGTGTACTATTTTAAAAGATACTGAATATGAAATAATATAATTTTGAATTAGAGTGTGTGGTGTTGCCCTAGAGAGAAACTCTCCAAGCCCGCATCCCAAGATGACTCCGATGGATCTCCCCTGCTACAGCCACGCCGCTTTACCCTCCTCCCTCTGAAGCAGCTCTGCTCCCCTCCATGGCCAAGATGGTGACTACTCCTCCGTCATGTCTCCGGCCCCCTCCAGATCCGCTGCCGTCGTCGTGTTTGAACGCTCCGCGTGATGCTCTCTCTCCCGTCATCCCTCCGGAACCACCAGACCCACCAGACGTTGCTCTCTTCCACGTCGCTGCTACCGTACACCGTCTCGACTGCTCCTCTTCACGATCTGCTAAGGAATCCCGAACAGTCCGCTTCAGCTTCACTCCCTCTCACCACTGTCTCGGCTCTTACTCCGCCGGGAACCCGTGTCTCAGATCTGCGAGCCACGACGTGACGAGGATGAACTTCAGATCTGTGAGTTCTGAGGTCTTTGATCTTCATTTCCAAACTATCTCGATAAAGAACACTCAGTTTGAACACCAAGCTTCATCTCTAAATCTAGCCTCAAGGGCGTCTATAGTTGTGCAAGATATGGATGTAGAAGTGAGTTGTTGGGTTGAAGAAAGTACCGATTTCAAGCTAGTCTCTTTCCAGTACACAACAAATCAAAGTCTTGAGGACTGGCTTCTGATTGTCAAAGTATCGGGAGTGACTTGTTTTGTCGATGTTCAACTCTTACCCATGTACCTTCTTTGTTATGCGCGACCAGATCTGGTTATCGAGGCATCACAGGAAGCGGTTTCCTTCTCCTCTACTCACTGGCTCCTTTACCTTGGCAATAGACTCCTCCTCGTTACTGGCTCATCCATTCCAAACGACCACTACAGCTCTCTCACTGTCGATATCCTCTTTCCGTGGTCAATAATCCAACACCGCCATCTCTATACAGCATGAACAGAGTCCATTAGCTGCAATATTTCAAAGTCCAAAACCTGCAGGATAACATCGATTTCTGTTATTGGCGTGTGTGACCAGCTTATGATTCTCAAGGACAAGAAGGTACTATACATCAAAAATCATCTAATGCTTTTTCGTACCTCCGGTTCACCTAGCCGTCTCCCTAGTGGGGTGTTCCTTGTGATATCTCCTTCTCCCTTGCTGCATTTCATGTTTACTGAGTCTCGAACCGTCACCACGAGTATTTTTGTCTTTGGCGAAATGGCATTTGATGTCAGGCCCGACGAGTTCTCTAAAATCGGAGTTCTTGACTCAACTCTCTCTGACCAAGGAAAATTAATGGAGCTTTCATCATTTGCTGTTGTATTAGTCTCAATGGTCTCACCATCCTCACCGAACAGTTTGCTCTTCATTTCTCTAGAGATTTACCTAGTCTCTCCGAAAAACCTCTTCGGTGTTAGAGTTGATCTTATTCGTCTAGTAGGCTGTTTAGCCAAATCCAGATCCTCTTCAGACATTTTTGCCCTTTTCCAAACCCCATCGTTTGGATATCTTAACGTCGATCTCGACTATGAAAAGCTCTTTAGAGCTTCCGCTGCAGGGATACAAGTAAAGTCAGCCTTCGGATTTCATTACTTTGAGCAAACCTCTCCTGTTAACACTTCTATCTTAGGATGTATCGTTTCTTTTATGTTCATCGTAGCTTCGAGTATTCTGGTTGTAGTCGTTTTATCGTCGAGCATTGCTCCGGTTGTTACTTCTTAGCCTTTGGGCCTCTTTTATAATATAATCTGTGTTACAAAAAAAAAAAAAAATATATATATATATATAATTTTATTGGTTGGTGAACCTAGTCCTGGGATTCCTAACTGAACCGATCGGACTGAACCGATCGGACCGATCCGAACCGAACCGATAAATATGGATATCGGTTATTGTTCGGTTATTGGAGAAAAACCAATCGGAACACATTTTAAAATAAATCTGTTTTCGCTTCGGTTCGGTTCGGTTCACTATAACTGATCGATTTTCCGAAATTTTAACCTAACTATATATACCTAACCTAATCTAACTTAATCAGACAAACCAAATCTCGTAAACGGTTTTACCCTAATCGCCTCTCTTAAGATCTCGATCTCCGATCAACCTTTGTTTGATTCTCAGACCAGTTCATCTTCTCTTCTTCTTTACATCATTACATCAACCTTTGTCTGATTCTCAGACCAGTTCTGTCTTCTCTTCTTTCTCAGTTTATGTGGTTCGAGTTTGTGTCGATTAATGAGTCACGGGTTCTGTTGTGTTTGTTTCTGTTCTGTTGATTACGGGTTGGACTTGGGAACATAGCTGGTGTTTAGGGTCTGTTGTGTCTAAAAAAGTAAGTTTTATATATATGTTTGTCTGATCATACGTGTTTATTTTGGATTGTATTTGTAGATGTCAGCTTGTGAAGATAATGGTGAGTTCCTTGGAGAAGACATTGAAACAAATGTAGATCAAGGTTGTGGAAAGAAAAGATCTACTTCTGAGAGATCAAGCACTGATGCGCCTCCTATTGAAAAGAAAAAGCAAGCTCACAGAGCAGATGTTTGGCAACATTTCATTCAAAGAGAGGATAATCCCAGCATCAGCAACTGCCGTTATTGTGCGCAAGAGATTGGATGTGACTCCAAGAAGAGTGGAACATGTGCGATGAAGAATCACATTGGTCGATGTAAGATGTACCAACTCTAGAAAGAATCTGGAACACAGCAGGTGCTAAGTGGAGATAGTAGTGGTGTATTGACAACCATCAAGTATGATGCCACTAAGTTTAGGAGATCAGTGAATGGGATGATAGTCCTGAATGAGGAGCCGTTTTCTTTTGTTGAATCTGAAGGGTTTAGGAGGTTCTGCCACAACGTCTTTCCTATGTACACAATTCACTGCAGGAAAACCGCAACAGAAGATATATTTGGAATGTTTGTGAACGAGAAAGCTAGTTTAAAGCAGTTGTTCAGTGCTGAGAAGCAGAGAGTGTCGTTTCTCCCACAACGTCGTACAGCTACATGGTCGTCACAGCTCATTGGATTGATAGAATCTGGAGTATGCAGAAGAGAATCATCAGTTTCAAGCCTATCACAGATCATAAAGGTGACACTATTTCTGACCAGTTAAGTTTATGTCTCTCTGATTGAGGAATAGAGAAGGTTTTTACGGTTACAGTAGACAATGCTAAGGCGAATGACAAGGCCTTACGGCTGTTTACATAAACTTGTAGGGAGATAGGACCAAATGCATTAGTTAAGGATGGTTCACTGTTGCATATGCGTTGCTGTGCCCATATTCTCAACTTTATAGTTAGGGATGGTTTATCTGAGGTCAAAGAGAGTGTAACGGCCATTAGAAATGCTGTGAAGTATGTCAGATCATCGGGTACAAGGTTGCAGTCGTTTCAGTTAAGGGTGTTGACAGGAAAGGTTAGTAGAGGGAGCTTGTCTTTGGACTGTAAAACTCGCTGGAACTCCACCTATCTCATGTTGTCTGCTGCTTTGAAGTTTAAGGTTGCTTTTGAGAAGCTCAAAACTGAAGACATGTTGTATAATGATTATTTTCTGGAAGTAGATGAGGATGGAGAGAAACGAGTTAGACCTCCTACTTCGGAAGGCTGTGAAGAGGTGCAGAGGTTAGTGAAGTTTCTGAAAATATTCTTTGGTTGCACTTTAGCGTTCTCAGCATCCAAGACAGTCACGTCCACCATCTACTACAATGAGATTGTAATAATTAAGAGGAACTTAATTGCTTTGAGCAGAAGCAAGGATGGGGTTTTACAGATTCAAGCAAAGGAGATGAGGAACAAA